TTTGAATTGTACATTTTAAATGGGTGAATTTTATGATATACAATATACGGCTTACATAAATAATATGTAAAGCATATGTATATATGTGAGTGGTTAGCTGTAACTGGGAGTTTCTGTAAAACTCAGATTTTTCCATGATGATGTATCGTATGATGTTGTCTATCATATAATACGTATATCTCGGAGTTTACAGAATAGAAGATGAACCGAGGCTGGGCATGGCGGCTCATGCCTGTAATCTCAGCACCTTAGGAGGCTGAGGCAGGCAGATTGCTTGGGCCCAGGAGTTCCAGACCAACCTGAGCATAAAAGTGATACAGCAGTGCTTGCTTCAGCAGCACATACACTGCAATTGGAACGAGACAGATATTAGCACGGCCCCTGCGCAAGGATGACATGTAAATTCGTGAATCATTCCATATTTTTTATTTAAAAAAAAAAAAGTGACACTACGAAAAAAATACAGAATTAAGCCAGATGTGGTGGTGCACACCTGTAGACCCAGCTACTCTGGAGGCTGAGGCAGGAGGATGGTGTGAGCCCAGGAGGCAGAGGTTGCAGTGAGCTGAGATTGCACCACTGTACTCCAGTCCGATAGAGTGAGACCCTGTCTCAAAAAAAATCAAGAAAAAAAAAAAAAAACAAAAACAAAAACCTGGTGGCAAGCTGCTTTTAAAATTTTAGTTGTAACTCATCTCTGTGCTTGTTTCAGCTTCCTAAATAATTGCATTTCAGGTCAGCCACAGTGGCTCACACCTGTAATCCCAGCACTTTGGGAGGCTGAGGCAGGAGGATCACCTCAGCCCAGGAGTTCAGGACCAGTCGGAGTGATATGCTGAGATCTGGCGCCCAGCTCATTTATTTCCTTTTTTGTAGGGACTGGGTCTTGTGTTGCTAAGTCTCTAGGCTGAGACTTAAGCTTTTCAAAGTGTGTGGACGTGTTATTAAACCATCACACCTATAAGTGGTGGGGCCAGGATTCAAACCCCGACATTTTGGCTCTGTCTTGTCTCCTGGGGATTGGGAGCGTGCAGCTCCGAGTCAGAACAACAAAGCCTGGTCGGTTCCAGCGTGCTCCACTGAACCTCTGAGGCTCTGCTATGTTCTTCATGAGCCCCTAGTTTTGGGCTGAGCACTGGGAGCTCTGCTTCTAGGAATCAGTAGCCAGAGAACGTGTGGGTGCAGTTAACAGAAGCTGGGCGCACTGACACGAACTGCCACTAGGCGGCGCCATGCTCCCACCTTTCATAAAACCAGCGGTCTGGACTTTGTTCCCAGGCGGTCCTTGGCCAGGAAATTCTCCCTTTTTTCCTCCTCATCCTGTGGGGCTCTGGTCTGCAATCTTAGGCCTGTAGGCTGGACCTTGAAATCCTGGCAGCTGGTGCTCCACAGGGATAATCCCCTTTATGTTCTGTAACTGACCTCACTTTGCTATGGGGCCCCTATTCACAGGAAACCACAACCACGCAGACAACTTTTAGAACATTTTCTTATACCTTTATTATTATTATTATTATTAATTTATTTATTTATTTTTTAAAAACGGAGTTTCGCTCTTGCTACCCAGGCTGGAGTGAAATGGCGCGATCTCGGCTCACTGCAACCTCCGCCTCCTGGGTTCAGGCAATTCTCCTGCCTCAGCCTCCCGAGTAGCTGGGATTACAGGCACGTGCCACCATGGCCAGCTAATTTTTTGTATTTTTAGTAGAGACGGAGTTTCACCATGTTGACCAGGATGGTCTTGATCTCCTGACCTCGTGATCCACCTGCCTTGGCCTCCCAAAGTGTTCAGATTACAGGTGTGAGCCACCGTGCCCGGCCGTACATTTATTATTTATTTAAGAGGGGGGTCTCACTATGTTGCCCAGGCCGGTCTTGAACTCCTGGGCTCAAGCAATCCTCCCACCTCCACTTCTCAAAGTGCTGGGATTACAAGTGTGAGCCACTGTGCCCAGCCACATGGTAGTTCTGTTTCTGATTCTTTGAGAAAGAAATCTGCAAAGTCCACAGGAGCGGAACTAACTTACATTCCCACCAGCAGTATGTATGCGTTCCTTTTGCCACAGCCCTGTCAACATCCAATTATTTTTGGCTTTCCAATAAAAGCCATTGAGTGGTTTTAAGAAGGTATCTCATTCTGGTTTTGATGTGCATTTCTCTGATGATTAGTGATGTCGAGCATTTTTTCATGTTCGTTGGCTGCCTGTATATATTCCTTTTTATTTTATTTTATTTTATTTTATTCTTTGAGATGGAGTTTCACTCTTGTTACCCAGGCTGGAGTGCAATGGCGCGATCTCGGCTCACCGCAACCTCCGCCTCCTGGGTTCAGGCAATTCTCCTGCCTCAGCCTCCTGAGTACCTGGGATTACATGCATGCACTACCATGCCCAGCTAATTTTTTGTATTTTTAGTAGAGATGAGGTTTCACCACGTTGACCAGGGTGGTCTCGATCTCTTGACCTCATGATCCACCCGCCTCGGCCTCTGAAAGTGCTGGGATTACGGGCTTGAGCCACCGTGCCTGGCCTATATATATTCTTTTGCAAAGTATCTGTTATGTCCTTTGCCCGCTTTTTAATAGAGTGGTGTATCAGGATATATATATCTATATCTCCTGTTATAGGATATATATATCTATATCTCCTGTTATAGGATATATATATTAAAGGATGTAAATTTATATAATAGGAGATATATATAAATATTTATATATATACACACATACCCTAACACACACACACACAAACACACACACACACACACACACACACACGTATAAAGGGGAGTTTTTGAAGGAGTATTAACTCATGTGATTAACTGTCTGCAAGCTGAGGAGCAAGGAAGCCAGTCCGAATCCCAAAGCCGAAGAACCTGGAGTCTGATGTCTGAGGGCAGGAAGCATCCAGCCGGGGAGAAAGGTGTAGGCTGGGAGGCTAGACCAGTCTAGTGTCGTGTTTTTCTGCTTGTTTTATATTCTAGCTGCGCTGGCAGCTGAGAAGCTGGTGCCCACCCAGATTGAAGGTGGGTCTGCGTTCCCCAGCCCAGTGATCCAAATGTCCATCTCCTTTGGCCGCACCCTCACAGACACACCCAGGATCAATAGTTTGCATCCTCCAATCCAGTCAAGTGGACAGTCTTTTAACGATCTTAGGTTGTTTGTGTTTGGCTTCTTAAGTTCCTTATAGATTTTGGATACTGGATTTTTGTTAGTGGCATAGTTTGTGAATATTTTCTCCCTTTCTGCAGGCTGTTTACTCTGGTAGCTTCTCTTGCTGTGCAGAAGCGCTTTAGTGTAATTAGGTCCCACTTGTCAATTTTTGTTTTTGTTGCAATTGCTTTGAAGGACTTAAGGCCGGCGTCGAGAAGGCTATTTCCTAGCTGTTCTTCTAGGATTTCTGTAGTCTTGATTCCATTTGAGGGTTTAATCTGTCTTGAGTTGATCGTTGTATACGGCGATCGGGTCCAGTTTCATTCTTTTGCACATGGATAGTCAGTTATCTTACTACCATTTATTGACCAATAATTGGGAGTCCTTTCCCCGTTCCTATTTTTTTTGAGACAGGGTCTTGCTCTGTCTCCTAGGCTGGAGTGCAGTGGCACAACCATGGCTCACTACAGCCTCAACCTCCCTGGCTCAGGTGATCCTCCTGCCTCAGCCTCTCTAGTAGCTGGAACTGCAGGTGCCCGCAACCACACTCGACTAATTTTTTTGTATTTTTTTTGGCGGTGGGGAGGGGGATGGAGATGGGGTCTTGCCACGTTGCCTAGGCCAGTGTCAACCTCCTGGGCTCGGGCAGTCCTCTGCCTGTGCCTTCGAAGGTTCTGGGATTACAGGTGTGAGCCACTATACCTAGCCTCCATTGCTTATTTTTGTCAAGTGTGTTGAAGATCAGGTGGTTATAAGCGTGTGGCTTTATTTCTGCGGTATCTATTTTGTTCAATTGGTCTATGTGTTTTGAATTGTACATTTTAAATGGGTGAATTTTATGATATACAATATATGGTTTACATAAATAATATGTAAACTATATGTATACATGTGAGTGGTTAGCTATAACTTGGAGTTTCTGTAAAACTCAGATTTTTCCATGGTGTTGTATTGTATGATGTTGTATATCATATAATATGTATATCTCAGAATTTACATAAAAGAAAATTAATCTAGGCTGGGCATGGTGGCTCATGCCTGTAATCTCAGCACTTTGGGAGGCTGAGGCAGGCAGATTGCTTGGGCTGGGGAGTTCCAGACCAACCTGAGCAAAAAAGTGATACTGCAGTGCTCGCTTCGGCAGCACTTATACTACAATTGGAACGATACAGATATTAGCACGGCCCCTGCGCAAGGATGACACGCCAATTCGTGAAGCATTCCATATTTTTTATTTAAAAAAAAAAGTGGCACTACGAAAAAAATACAGAATTAAGCCAGATGTGGTGGTGCACACCTGTAGACCCAGCTACTCTGGAGGCTGAGGCAGGAGGATGGTGTGAGCCCAGGAGGCAGAGGTTGCAGTGAGCTGAGATTGCACCACTGTACTCCAGCCAGATAGAGTGAGACCCTGTCTCAAAAAAAACAAGAAAAAAAAAAAAAAAACCTGGTGGCAAGCTGCTTTTAAAATTTTAGTTGTAACTCATCTCTGTGCTTGTTTCAGCTTCCTAAATAATTGCATTTCAGGTCAGCCACAGTGGCTCACACCTGTAATCCCAGCACTTTGGGAGGCCAAGGAGGATGGATCACCTGAGGTCAGGAGTTCGAGGTCAGCCTGGCCACCATGGTGAAACCACGTCTCTACTAAAAATTAGGAGAATCGCTTAACCCAGGGAGGCAGAGGTTCCAGTGAGCTGAGATCGCGCCACTGAATTCCAGCCTGGGGGACAGAGTGAGACTCTGTCTCAAAAAAGAAAATTGCATTTCAAAAGAAAGTAGCCATCTATCACAGCTCAAAACCGATGACAGATACACAGGAAACGTTCATGTCTTTGGTCTCCTCTGTCAGATGTCATGCCTCGAGCAGCCATTCAGTATGGCAGGATCCTGACCCGCCACACCTGCCACCCCGTCTACATCCTGAAAGGGGGCTATGAGCGTTTCTCAGGCATGTACCACTTCTTCCGGACCCAGAAGATCATCTGGATGCCTCAGGTAGGACAAAATGCTGAGCATAGGCAGGCCCAGATGGGAATCATGGGCCTGGAAACTGACCAGCAGGTGACTGAGTAGGAGAAACAGGAGAATGGGACAGAGGATGTAGAGAAAGTGGATGGGGTGGGGGAGACTGGGCTGCAGAAATGAGCATGGGGCTGCCAGGAGTCCAGGTCCAGTTTTTGGTTTTTTGGTATGTATGTATGTATGTATGTATGTATTTATTTATTTATTTGAGACAGAGTCTCACTCTGTTGCCCAGGTTGGAGTACAGTGGCGTAATATTGGCTCCCCACAACCTCCACCTCCTGGGTTCATGTGATTCTCCTGCCTCAGCCTCCTGAGTAGCTGGGACTACAGGTGTGCACCCCCATGCCTGGCTATTTTTTATATTTTTAGTAGAGACGGGGTTTCACCATGTTGCCCAGGTTGGTCTCAAACTCCTGACTTTAAGTGATCCACCTGCCTTGGTCTCCCAGAGTGCTGCAATGAAGACGTGAGCTACTGTGCCTGGCCCCAGTTGTTTATGAGGAATTGATCACTGTACAGTTGAAACAGTGGAGCCTGTTCAGAGGGCAGGCTTCCCCGAGGGAGATCTGGATGGTGAACTGATATCAAGGTCAGACAGTCAGGGGCATGTCAGCCCAAGACCACCTCTTTTTTCTTGGCTGTCTGGTTCCATAAATCCTAACTGCATCCAGAGGATATAAAAATACAGAAATGTGGGAAGGATTGATCAGGCTCATGGCTCATGCCTGTACCCCTAGCACTTTGGGAGGCCAAGGCAGATGGACTGCTTGAGTGTAGGACTTTTGAGACCAGCCTGAGCAACATGGTGAGACCTCCTCATCTCTACAAAAAATTTAAAAAATGGAGGTTGGTGTGGTAGCTTATACCTATAAACCCAGCACTTTGGGAGGCTGAGGTGGTTGGATCATTTGAGCTCAGGAGTTTGACTAGACTGAGCAAAATGGCAAAACCCTGTCTCTACCAAAAATACAAAAATTCACTGGGTGTGGTAGCCCACCCGTGGTCCCAGCTACTCAGGAGGCCGAGGCAGGAGAATCACTGGAATCCAGGAGGCAGAGGTTGCAGTGAGCCGAGATCTTGCCACTGCTCTTCAGCATGGTTGACAGAACAAGACCCTGTCTCCAAAAAAAAAAAAAAAAAGAAAATCAGCTAGCTATGGTGACTCAAACCTGTAGTCCTAGCACTCTGGGAGGCCAAGGCAAGAGGATTGCTTGATATCAGGAGTTCAAGACCAGCCTGGGTGATCTAGTGAGACCCCATCTCTGTTATAATTTTTTTTTTTTTTTTTTTTTTTTTTTTTTTTTAGTGCAGAGACAGGGTTTCACCATTGTTGGTCAGGCTGGTCTCCAACTCCTGACCTCAAGTGATCCACCCACCTTGGCCTCCCAAAGTGCTGGGATTACAGGCATGAGCCACCGCGCCCGGCTGGTTTTAACTTTTTCTAACAGTTGCCTTCAGCTGTGTTCCTGTTCCTGCCCTTAGCAGCATCTTGAGCAGATTCCATACTTTGTGGCCACTTTTGATTACAAACAACTTCAATAGAAGTCATAGTATAGGATGACTGGGCAAATGTGACTATTCACAGCATGTTTGATTGTGTTAAGGAATTGTTGCTTTTTGAATTCAAAAAGAATTGAAAGAATTAAAGATTCTTCCAGTCTTCAATTGGAAGATCAAGCATAATAACCAATAATATGGTTAATAACCATAATATTATTATAGTTATTATTAAAAAGTGCAAGTCCCGCCAGGGATGGTGGCGTGTGCCTGTAGTCCCAGCTACTCGGGAGGCTGAGGTGGGAGGATCGCTTGAGTCCAGGAGTTCTGGGCTGTTGTGCGCTACGCCGATCGGGTGTGCGCACTAATTTCGGCGTCAATATGATGACCTCCTGGGAGTGGGGGACTACTAGGTTGCTTAGGGAGAGGTGAACTGGTCCAGGTTGGAAATGGAGCAGGTCAAAACTCCCGTGCTGATCAGTAGTGGGATCACGCCTATGAATAGCCACTGCACTCCAGCCTGGGCAACATAGAGACCCCGTCTCTAAAAAAAATAAAAATAAAAAATAAAGTACAAATCCCTGTCTTTTAGACATACAGAACAAAATATTTACAGGTGAAATGACGTGACATCTGGAGTCTCCTTTCAAATAATCTGGGATGAGGTGAGAAGGCAGTGAGGGTATAGAGGAAAGCCCATGACCCGTCCCCTGCCCCGCATGCCCACATTCCTTCACCAGAACCCCAGAATGATCCTGTGTGATAAGGCAGGTAATCTTGCCTGAAGTCAGACGTGTTCCCAGATCCAGGGTATGTATGTCTGTCTCCCAAAGACATCCCCTTCTTCCACTGAGATAACACCACTGTGGATTTCAGCTCAACAGGTGTACGACAAGTTAAATAAAGGAAGTAAAGGCAGTCAGTCTAGCATAAGCCAGGGCAGTTCAATGTTCCAGCCTCAAATCTGAATCAAGTCTTACCTTGATTAGAATGCCTCCTTGCTCTTGGAGGACCCCTTCCTGGCTTTGCAGGGTGCAGAGCGATTAGTTTCTTCTCTGCAAACCCTACACTGCTGATAATTCATCATCACCACCCCCTCATTTCTGCAGCTTTAGTAAGGTGTAATTGACATGATGAACTGCACATATTTAAAAGGCCCGGTGTGGTCTGTTTTGACATATGCATATTCCCGTAACTTGTCTTTGCCCCTCGTCTTATCAAATCGGGAAGAGGGGGCAGGGTTGTGGCTGGGATGTCTGTGAAGGTTGGATTGGGTTACTTGTCTGTGGCTATCTTTAGAATGTAGGTGACTGGCCAGCTGTGGTGGCCCAAGCCTGGAATCACAGCACTTTTGGGAGGTCAAAGAGGTGGGAGGATCGCTTGAGGCCAGGAGTTTGAGACAACATAGTGAGACCTTATTTTTTATTTTTTATTTTTTATTTTTTTTGAGGCGGAGTTTCGCTCTTGTTACCCAGGCTGGAGTGCAATGGTGCAATCAATCTTGGCTCACCGCAACCTCCGCTTCCCGGGTTCAGGCAATTCTCCTGCCTCAGCCTCCTGAGTAGCTGGGATCACAGGCACGCGCCACCATGCCCAGCTAATTTTTTGTATTTTAAGTAGAGACAGGGTTTCACCTTGTTGACCAGGATGGTCTCGATCTCTTGACCTCGTGATCCATCCGCCTCGGCCTCCCAAAGTGCTGGGATTACAGGCTTGAGCCACTGTGCCCGGCCGTGAGACCTTATTTAAAGAAAAATTAAAGAAAAAAAAATAGCTTGGCATTGTGACACACACCTATAGTTCCAGCTACTCAGAGGCTGAGGTGAGAGGATTGCTTGAGCCCAGGAATTTGAGGCTGCAGTGAGCCATGATTGTGCCCCTGAACTCCAGCCTGAGTGACAGAACAAGACCCTATCTCTTAAGAAAAAAGAAAGATCTCAGCACTTTGGGAGGACAAGGTGGGCGGATCACTTGAGGTCAGGAATTCGAGACCAGTCTGGGCAACATGGTGAAACCCTGTCCCTACTAAAAATACAAAAATTAGCTGGGTGTGGTGGCACATGCCTATAATCCCAGATACTCAGGAGGCTGAGACAGGAGAATCACTTGAACCCAGGAGGCGGAGGTTGCAGGGAGCCAAGATCATACCAGTGCACTCCAGCCTGGACGACAGAGCGAGGCTTCATCTCGTAAAAAAAAAATAAGATTTAGGAGGTAGCACTGATTAGACATGAGGGCTTGGGGGAGAGAGGGTGCTGGGATGATGGTTGGGTTTTAGGTGGTGATGGGGGGGCTATGATATGGTTCATTGTGAGGAACATTTGGGAGGGGTCAGGGAAGAAGGTGGTTTTAGGAGGAAAGGCAGTGGACTCAGTTTGGCCACATTCATTTGAGATAATTCATTTCCTTTGCATTGTGTCAATGAGGATTCACACAATTTACAGTATGGTGTGTTTTTATGCATACCACTCCCTCTTCCCAGCCAAACCCATGCAACCACAGAAAAGGAAGCTGGTTTCAAAACAGCAGGAAGAGTGTTGATAAATTTGCTATGGGATTTTTGCAGGTTTTTTTTTTTTTTTTTTTTTTTTTCTTTTGAGACTGCATCTCTGTTGCTCAGGCTGGAGTGCAGTGGCATGATCTTGGCTCACTTCAACCTCCACCTCCCAGGTTTAAGTGATTCTCCTGCCTCAGCCTCCAGAGTAGCTGGGATTACAGACACCCGCCACCACATCTGGCTAATTTTTATATTTTTAGTACAGATGGGGTTTTACCATGTTGGCTAGGCTGGTCTCAAACTCCTGACCTCAGGTGATCCACGCACCTCAGCTTCCCAGAGTGCTCGGATTACAAGTGTGTGCCACCACGCCTGGCCTCTTAGTGAGATTTTTCAAGTGGAAATTGAAAGGGGGATTTCACTTGGCACCAGCAGGCTGAGTGTTCTGGTTAGGGGCAGCCCACGTGCTGGAGTAAGCATTGGGCCCGCCTGCAGGCAGTGGGGTCATGCCTCTTCTCTCCGTGTCGCAGGCTTGAGAACTGGCTCAGCGTGGTGTCTGTTCTTTGCTAATGGCTTTCGAAGCTAGTGGCTTGGGAAGGATGTAGGCTTGCACCGGGTTCGCCGCTGTGGGCAAGGGAATGAGGTGTGCTGAGTTCAGGTGGCTCTGAAGGACCCACACGGGCAGTGAAGTAGCAGGAGATCCTTAAGATATTGTTCCTGAGTCGGACTTGGAGCCAGGGGACATTTGGAACTGATTTTGATTTTTGGCAAAGGTCAGCATTTTCTTTTCTCTTCTCTTCTCCTCTCTTCTCTTTTTTCTTTTCTTTCTTTTTTTTTTTTTGAGATGGAGTCTCACTCTGTCACCAGGCTGGAGTGTAGTGGTATAATATCAGCTCACTGCAACCTCTTCCTCCTGGGTTCAAGTGATTCTCCTGCCCCAGCCTCTGAGTAGCTTGGACTACAGGTGTGCACTGGCACACCTGGCTAATTTTTATATTTTTAGTAGAGACAGGGTTTCACCATGTTGGTCAGGCTGGTCTCAAATTCCTGATCTCAGGTGATCTACCTGCCTCTGCCTCCCAAAGTGCTGCTGGGATTACAAGCATGAGCCACTGTGCCTGGCTTTCTTTGTTTTCTTTTTTACATAAGAGACCGGCTGGAGTGCAGTGACGCTGTCACAGCTGTAACCTCAAACTCCTGTGGGGTCCGCCCATTTCAGCCTCCTGAGTAGCTGGGACTATACCCATGTACCACCACACCCAGCAATTTTTTTTTTTTTGGTAGAGACAAGGGTCTTGCTGTTTTACCCAGGCTGGTCTCAAACTCCTGGGCTCAAGAGATCCTCCACTCTTGGCCTCCCAAATTGCAGGTATTACAGATGTGAGCGGCCACTGTGCCCAACTTCCTTTGAACCTTTGATTGCAAATGTACACCTTGTTTCCGAAAGAGGAATCATAGGTACAGCTGTCCATTTGTATAGTTGTCCTTAAGTATCCGTGGAGATTGGTTCCAGGGCCCTCAACAGATACCAGAATCCTTGGATCTTCAAGTTCCTGATATAAGACAGTGTAGTATTTGCATCTAACCTAAGCATATCCTCCCATATACTTTATTTATCTATTTGAGACAGAGTCTTGCTCTGTGGCTCAGGCTGGAGTGCAGTGGCACGATCTCGGCTCACTGCAACCTCTGCCTCCCAGGATCAAGCAGTTTTTCTGCCTCAGCCTCCCGAGTAGCTGAGACTACAGGCATGTGCCACCATGCCTGGCTGTTTTTTGTGTTTTTAGTGGAAGCAGGGTTTCAGTTGTTGGCCAGGTTGGTCTCAAACTCCTGACTTCAAGTGGTCTTCCTGCCTCAGCCCCTCAAAGTGATGGGGTTATAGATGTGAGCCACTTCACCTGGCCCCTCCTGTATACTTAAATCATCTCTAAATTATTTATATTACCTAATACAATGTGCATGCTATGTATAAATAATTGTTATACCGTATTGTTTAGGAAATAATGACAAGAAAAAAAAGTGTGTACATGTTCTGTACATATACAACCATGAATTTTTTATTTCATTAAAAAATTTTTTTTATAAAGACGAGGTTTCACCATGTTGGTCAGGCTGGTCTCAAACTCCTGACCTCAGGTGATCTGCCCATCTTGGCCCCCACAAAGTGCTGGGATTACAGGTATAAGCCACCGTGCCCGGTAACAACCATGAATTTTTTTTCTGGACATTTTTGATCCAAGGTTGCTTGAATCCATGGATGTGGAACGAACAGATATGGGGGCAGATTGCATTTGGTTATCTGAACTCCTGAAGCCTTTTTTCATAGTGCCTTATGGGGGACTAGTGTTTCTTAGAACACACTTTAGGAAATGTAGCGATAATCCTTCACTTTGTGTTTTAAATAAATGAAAGTTTTAAATATAACGTTGGACCTGGAACTCAGGAAACTCCCATTTAAATAGTTGTCTTGTTCTCTCTCTCTCTTTTTTTTTTTTTTTTTAAATTTTCACCATGATGGCCAGGCTGGTCTTGATCTCCTGACCTCAGGTAATCCACCCACCTCGGCCTCCCAAAGCGTTAGAGTTACAGGCGTGAGCCACCGCGCCCGGCCTGTCTTGTTCTCTCTACCCCTGTACACATACTCTGGCTTCATCAGAATTCATTTCTGGGCATGCAGGTGGCTCACGTGTATCCCAGCACTTTGGGAGGCTGAGGCAGGAGGATCACTGCAGGCCTGAAGTTTGAGGCTAGCCTGGGCAACATAGCAAGACCCCATCTCTACAAAAGATAAAAGTATCCAAATTATCTGGGTGTAGTCATGTGCACTTGTAGTCCCAGCTACCTGGGAGGCCGAGGTAGGAGAATCACTTGGCCCCAGGAGGCCAAGACGGCAGTGAGCTGCAATTGAGCTATTTGCACTCTAGCCTGGGTAGCAGAGTGAGACCCTGTATCTTTAAAAAAAAAAAAAAAAAAAAAAAAGAAAAAGATGGGCTGAGCATGGTGGTAATCTCAGCATGGTGGTTACCTCACACCTGTAATCACCACTTTGGGAGGCCAAGGCAGGTGGATTACTTGAGGTCAGGAGTTCAAGACCAGCCTGGCCAGCATGACTAAAGCTCATCTCTACCAAAAATACACAAAATTGTAGTGGTGCACACCTGTAATCCCAGCTACTCGGGAGGCTGAGGCAAGAGAATCGCTTGAACCCAGGAGGCGGAAGTTACAGTAAGCCAAGATCACACAACCGCACCCCAGCCTGAGCAACAGAGCAGGACTCTGTCTCAAAATATGTATGTGTGGCCGGGCATGGTGGCTCATGCCATAATCCCAGCACTTTGGGAGGCCGAGGTGGGCTGATCACAAGGTCAGGAGATCGAGACCATCCTGGCCAAGACGGTGAAACCCCGTCTCTACCAAAAATACAAAAAATTAGCCGGGCATGGTGGCGCACACCTGTAGTCCCAGCTACTCAGGAGAGTGAGGTAAGGGAATCACTTGAACCTGGGAGGTGGAGATTGCATTGGGCTGAGATAGCGCCCTTGCACTCCAGCCTGGGCAGCAAGAGTGAAATGCTGTCTCAAAAAAATGTGTGTGTTTGTGAGGTTTGGACAAAAAAAAAAAAAGTGTGTGTGTGTGTGTGTGTGTGTATGTATGTATATATAGAGAGAGGGGTGTTTAAATTCTGGTGGTCTCCACTCCAGGTGTAATAAGAGTTCTGTCCTTCCATCCTCCCAAGCCCCCAGGACACGCTGGGTTGTTGCAGTTCTGGGCCGCAGCGTCCTCAGTACAACCTTTGGTCACCTGGCCAAGTGTACACAGGTGCCATGGAGGGAAACATACACCAGTGCTGAGACCCCGCGCTCTGCACCGTGAGATTGTCGTTCAGTGCTTTTGTCGTGACTTGCCCTGTGCCCCACACATGTTATGGCATGCCAGTCTCTTTCAAAGTCTGGATCTCCGTCACCGTCACTGTCCCGGAACTGCCCTTCCATGCCTGCTTGCCGAGCTGTGTTTCAAGAGACAAACATCCCTTTTCCCCGAGGAATATGCTCATAGCTGCCTTTCTCCTTCACCACTTCAGGAACTGGATGCGTTTCAGCCATACCCCATTGAAATCGTGCCAGGAAAGGTCTTCCTGGGCAATTTCAGTCAAGCCTGTGACCCCAAAATTCAGAAGGACTTGAAAATCAAAGCCCATATCAATGTCTCCATGGAAACGGGGCCCTTGTAAGTACAGGAAATACTATCAATTTGTATTTCATTTTATTTTTTAATATTTACATTTATTTGTTTTTATTTTTGAGAAAGAATCTTGCTCTGTCACCCAGGCTGGAGTACAGTGGCACAATCTTGACTCACTGCAACCTCCACCTCCCGGGTTCAAGCAATTCTCCTGCCTCAGCCTCCCATGTTGCTGGGACTACAGGTGTGTGCCATCACATCCGGTTGATTTTTGTATTTTTTAGTAGAGGCAGGGTTTCACGTTGTTGACCGGACTGGTCTCGAACTCCTGGCCTCAAATGATCCACTTCCCTCGGCCTCCCAAAGTGCTGGGATTACAGGTGTGAGCCCCCACACCCGGACTATATATATATATATTTTTTTTTTGAGACGGAGTTTCGCTCTTGTTACCCAAGCTGGAGTGCAATGGCGCGATCTCGGCTCACCGCAACCTCCGCCTCCAGGGTTCAGGCAATTCTCCTGCCTCAGCCTCCTGAGTAGCTGGGATTACAGGCACGTGCCACCATGCCCAGCTAATTTTTTGTATTTTTAGTAGAGACGGGGTTTCACCATGTTGACCAGGATGGTCTCGATCTCTCGACCTCGTGATCCACCCGCCTCGGCCTCCCAAAGTGCTGGGATTACAAGCTTGAGCCACCGCGCCCGGCCTATTTTATTTTTTATTTCATTTGAGACAGGGTCTTGTTTATTTAATTTATTATTTTAGAGACAGAGTCTTGTACTGTTTCCCAGACGAGGTCTCACTATGTTGCCCAAGTTGGTCAGGAACTCCTAGCCTCAAGCGATCTGCCTTGCCCTCCCAAAGTGCTGGGATTATAGGCATGAGCCACCATGCCTGGCTAAGATACATACTTAAAAAAAAATTTTAGGGGGATTTCCAGCTCTCTGGAATCCTCTCCCACATAGTGGGAGCTTAAAATAAAAAATAAATTTTTTTTGGCTGGGTGTGGTGGCTCATGGCTATAATCCCAGCACTTTGGAATGCCAAGGTGGGTGGATCAGCTGAGGTTGGGAGTTTGAGACCAGCCTGGCCAACATGGTGAAACCCCATCTCTACTAAAAATAAAAACATTAGCCAGGCATGGTGGCACATGTCTGTAATCCCAGCCACTCGGGAGGCTGAGGCAGGAGAATCACTTGAACCTGGGAGGCTGAGGCAGGAGAATCACCTGAACCTGGGAGGCTGAGGCAGGAGAATCACTTGAACCTGGGAGGCAGAGATTGCGGTGAGCTGAGATTGTGCCACTGCTCCCCAGCCTGGGCAACAGAGCAAGACTCTGTCTCAAATAAAAAAGACGAACTCTCGCTTTGTGATCCTCCCATCTCTTGCCTCCCAAGTTACTGAGCTTAGAGGCATGAGCCACCGCACCCAGCCTGGATGTTTTTTCCCTGGAGAGATTGAGGTACCTGTGCACAGTCCCCTTACACAAGCTCAGCGTCCTCCCTGTGGCCTTTCTGCTGCGATGAAAACCCCACAGTGGGGTTGTGTGTCTTCTGCGTTCCGCCTGATGACCTGTGTGGACCTTCATGTAGTTTTGCAGGTGAAGCTGACAAGCTTCTGCACATCCAGATAGAAGATTCCCCAGAAGCCCAGATTCTTCCCTTCTTACGCCACCTGTGTCACTTCATTGGTAAGGAGCGTTCCTTGGCCAGGTAGCCACTGGCCTGTCTGGGAAGCAGAAGGGCAGTGGTGCCTCCTTCACAGGCTTCTTCTGGATTGTGACTCCCTGTGCTCTGGAGAGAAAGGGCAGGGCCTGGCACGTGCCCAGCCTGGGTGGGATGAGCTCCAGGACAGGTCCAGCGTCTCAGGAGCCCTCAGTGAAATGAGCGACCATGGCATTGACCATTGGGAGAGTGGGGCCCAAGATTGTGGGTTGAGCGTCCTAGGCTCTGGCCCTGACTAGGCAGCTGTGCCCTTCTGGGCTTTTAAAATGAGGGTGGCCGGGCGCGGTGGCTCAAGCCTGTAATCCCAGCACTTTGGGAGGCCGAGGCGGGTGGATCACGAGGTCGAGAGATCGAGACCATCCTGGTCAACATGGTGAAACCCCGTCTCTACTAAAAGTGCAAAAAATTAGCTGGGCATGGTGGCACGTGCCTGTAATCCCAGCTACTCAGGAGGCTGAGGCAGGAGAATTGCCTGAGCCCAGGAGGCGGAGGTTGCGGTGAGCCGAGATCGCGCCATTGCACTTCAGCCTGGGTAACAAGGGCGAAACTCCGTCTCAAAAAAAAAAAAAAAAAATAAATAAATAAATAAATAAATAAATGAGGGTGATGTCTGCCCACAAGTGTACATGCTCGTAGAGGCTCTGGGCTGAGCTCTGGGACCAGGAGGCAAATCTCTCTCCATCCACACCTTCATCCTTGCTCTGTGGTCTGCGGGTGGAAGAGAAGGAGGACTGCAAAGCCCTTTCAGCTCTGGCTTCCAAGATTTTCTTTTGTTTTTGTTGGTTGGTTGGTGGAGTTGGGGGTCTTACTATGTTGCCCAGGCGGGTCTTGAACTCCTAGCCTCAAGCAATCCTCCTTCCTCAGCCTCTCAAAGTGCTGGGATTATAGGCATGAGCCCCATGCCCAAGTGATGCCCACCAGTTAGTTAACTCACCGAGAGTGGGTTTTTTTTTCACTCAATACTGGGGCTCCAGATTGCCCAAGGAGAGTAAGATCCATAGAGACAGCAGGGCTGAGTCAGGTCAGAGTCCCCACCCCGCGCCTGCCTGTCTGGCACCAACACAGCCCCTGGCCTGAGCCCTGTACCAAGGGCTGGAGCGTGGCGTTTTGGCCCAACTATCCCTTATTTTGAACTTTAATTTTTTGAGACAGGGTCTGGCTCATTCATTTGTCCAGGCTGGAGTACCTTGTTGCAATCTTGGCTCACTGCCACCTCTACCGCCTAGGCTCAAGGAATCCTCCTCCCTCAGCTTCCCAAGTAGCTGGGACTACAGGTGTGCGCCACTATGCCCAACTAATTTTTGTATTTGTAGTAGATGGGTTTTTGCCATGTTGCCCAGGCTGGTCTTGAACTCCTGAGCTCAAGCAATCCACTCGCCTCAGCGTCCCAAAGTACTGGGATTACAGGCATGAGCCACTGCACCCAGCCCCAACTATTCTTTGTTTGCCCAGCAGATGTCAACTGTCACTCAACTAAGACCTGAGGCTGACAACCCATGTCCCACCTGAGATGGCAGAGCCCTGTGGCCCAAAGAGGCCTCCATCCAGCCCCACCTCCCTGGGTAGCACTGAGCTAGTCCTTCATGAATGAACTGTGCTCAGTTCTTTATTCAGATGGTGAGGAATGTGGCCTTCATCATTTCTGCATCCTCCTTCAGCCTGGAAGTCTGTGATTTGCACTTGGTATGCTTATCTTCAGGGTTGCCAGACCAGCCTCAGGTGCCAGCTTAGATTTCCTGTCCCTGGTCAGGACTTAAGCTTCAGGGGTGCTGTGATTGTAGCTGACATCTCTGCACCAGGCACTGGGCTCAGCGTGGAACCAAACCAAACCGTGTGGAGTAGGTAGTATACTGTGGTCCCGTTTTCCAGATGAGGACACAGTGGCTTAAAGCTGCTTACCCTCCAGCCTGGGCAACATTGTGAGACTCCATCTGTGCAAAAAAAGTTAGCTGGACCTGGTGGCACATGCCTGTGTTCCCAGCTTCTTAGAAGGCTAAGGTGGGAGGATGGCTTGAGCCCAGGAGTTCAAGGTTTCAGTGAGCTGTGATTGCACCACTGCATTCCAGCCTGGGCCACAGAGCAAGACCCAGTCTCTAAATAAAATAAATAAAAATAGGCTGGCCACAGTGGCTCTTGCATGTAATCCCAGTACTTTGAGAGTCTGAGGCAGGCAGGTCACCTGAGGTCAGGAGTTCAAGGCCAGCGTGAACAACATAGTGAGACTCCATGTCTATATTTTTTAAAAAAAGTAAGACGCAGGGGCCCACGCCTATGATCCCAGCATCTCGGAAGGCCAAGGCGGGCAGATCACCTGAAGCCATGAGTTGGAGACCAGCCTGGCCAACATGGTGAAACCCTGTCTCTACTAAAAATACAAAAAAATTAGCTGGGCGTGGTGGCAGTCACTTGCAATCCCAGCTACTTGGGAGGCCGAGGCAGGAGAATTGCTTGAACCTGGGAGGTGGAGGTTGCACCATTGCACTCCAGCCACAGCAACAAGAGCGAGACTGTCTCAACAAAGAAGGAGAGGAGGGAAGTGGGGAGGGGAGGAAAGTGGATGAGAAGGGAGGAGAGAAGGGAGGGGGGAGGAGGAGGGGAAGAGGGGAGGGGGAGGGGAAGAGGGAGGGGGAGGGGGAGGGGAAGAGGGGAGGGGGAGGGGAAGAGGGGAGGGGGAGGGGAAGAGGGGAGGGGGAGGGGAAGAGGGGAGGGGGAGGGGAAGAGGGGAGGGGGAGGGGAAGAGGGGAGGGGAAGAGGGGAGGGGGAGGGGAAGAGGGGAGGGGGAGGGGGAGGGAAGGGGAAGGAGGGGGAGGGGAGGGGAAGGAGGGGAGGGGAGGGGAGGGGAGAGGGAAGGGGAAAGGGAAAGGGGAGGGTTGGATCTTACTCAAGCCCGGTAACCAGTAAGTGGCAGTCAGGATTGGCAGTGAGGCTACACTGCCTCTGTCAGCTCCTGAATGTTTGAGTCGATGATGGTCCTGTCTGCCTCATCCTGGGAGGCCAGTTGGTAGCAGAGCTTCCTGGGCTAGAAGCCTGGAGTTCAGGAAAAGATCTTTGCCTGGTGCTGCTGGTTAACCAGGCATGATTCTCTGGAGTTTCCAGCCAGGTCTGAAGGATGCCCACTTGCTAGACAACGAAACGGATACCCAGAGAAATTATGGGACTTTCCGAGGTCGCGTGGGCTGGTCCTGAACTCATGCTTGGACCATGGGCCCATGGAGGCCAGTGTCTGACGGCAACCCAGGCCCACAGGGAGGAGGGCCAGGCATGACCCAAACCCCACTTCTTTTCACAGCAATTCACCTTCAGCTTGGCTCTGTCATTCTGATCTTTTCCACCCGAGGGATCAGCCGCAGCTGTGCGGCGGCCATAGCCTACCTCATGCATTGTAACGAGCAGACCTTGCAGGTAGGTGTTCCTGGGCCAGACCTCCACCCCGGCCACCCCTGGGAGGCGGGGTCAGAGTGCGACCTGGGAGGAGTGGGGCCCTGGCACTGCTTTGGGAGGAAGAATCCCAGAGAACTCCAAGTCTAGGGTGCTCCCCAGCCCGTGTCCCAGTGTTGCAGGCTTGAGGCCTGAAGCTGGACACCAGGGACTCAGGCAGGGTCAGGCTGTCCTGCAGCCCCCTTGGCATGGCCCCTCCTGCTGTTTGTCTACCCGCATGCATGTGGTGTTGCCCAAGGGAGAACTGCTAGGAGTACCAGAACTGCAACACAGGTGCCCACCCACTCCTGCCAACCTCCCTGTACCTTGGGTGCAAGGTCCAGAGAGGAGAGGGAAGCAGGGACCCATCTTGGCAAACCCAGGTAGAACCTGGGGCGGCTGACTTGCACACAGCGCCTTTCTCAGGGGCCTGCCCTGCCTGTCACAGCCTGTTAGTGATCTCAGAGGGCTTGATAAGACCCACAAAGCCCTGATATTTGCCCAGGGGTGTGTTTAGAGGAAGGAGGATGAAGAATAAAGCCCGCCGGCCAGTGGTTTTGGTTGTCACCCCCATGTGCACTTTGGGGATGAAGTTGCAGGCTAGAGTCTTTTTTTTTTTTTTGCAATGGAGTCACCTTCTGTCACCCAGGCTGGAGGGCAGTGGTGCAATCTCAGCTCCCTGCAACCTCTGCCTCCTGGGTTCAAGTGATTCTCCTGTCTCAGCCTCCCTAGTAGCTCGGATTATAGACCTGCGCCGCCACGCCTGGGTAATTTTTGTATTTTTAGTAGAGACGGGGTTTCGCCATGTTGGCCAGGCTGGTCTTGAACTCCTGACCTCAGGTGATCTGCCCACCTCAGCCTTGTGGGATGACAGGCTTGAGCCACTGCACCTAGCCTAGAAAGAGTCTTGGACCAGGAATTCTCCTGAGTGTGCCCAAAAGAAGTGGGAGCAGGAACTTCAGCAGATATTAGGATGTTTATGTTCATGGCAATATTACAGCAGCCAATGGAGATAAAAAATGTGACATATACAGACAGTAGAAAATTACTTAGACTTTAAAAGGAAGGAAATTCTATTAGCTGGGTGTGCTGCTGCATGCCTGTGGTCCCAGCTACTCGGGAGACTGAGGTGGGAGGATCATTGGAGCCTGGGAGGTTGAGGTTGCAATGAGCTATGATCGTGCCACTGCACTCCAACCTGGATTACAGAGTGAGACCTGTCTCTTAAAAAAAAAAAAAAAAAAAAAAAAAGGGCTGGGCGCGGTGACTCACGCCTGTAATCCCAGCACTTTGGGAGGCCGAGGCGGGTGGATCATGAGGTCAAGAGATTGAGACCATCCTGGCCAACATGGTGAAACCCTGTCTGTACTAAAAAATATAAAAATTAGCTGGGCATGGTGGCAGGCGCCTGTAATCCCAGCTACTTGGGAGGCTGAGGCAGGAAAATTGCTTGAACCTGGGAGGCAGAGGTTGCAGTGAGCCAAGATCAGGCCACTGTACTCCAGTCTAGCACCTGGTGACAGAGCAAGACTCTGTCTCAAAAAAGGAAATTCCGACATGCTAATGCTACAGCATGGATGAACTTTGAGGTGGTTATGCTAAGTGAAATACACCAGTCACAAAATGACATACATATTCCATTTATATGAGATACTACAGTATCAAAATCACAGACAGAAAGGTAAATGCTGGGGGACAGAGGGGTGATGGGGAGTTAGTGTTTCATGGGGACAGAGTTTCAATTTGGGAAAATGAAGAAGTTCTGGAGATGGGCCAGGCACAGTGGCTCATACCTGTAATCCCAGCACTTTGGGAGGCTGAGGTGGGCAGATCACTTGAGGTCAGGAGTTCGAGACCAGCCTGACCAATGTGGTGAAACCCCTGTCCCTACTGAAAATGCAAAATTAGCTGGGCGTGGTGGCGTGTACCTGTAATCCCAGCTACTCGGGAGGCGGAGGCAGGAGAATCGCTTGAACCTGGGAGGCGGAGGCGGAGGCAGGAGAATCGCTTGAACCTGGGAGGCGGAGGCAGGAGAATCGCTTGAACCTGGGAGGCGGAGGCAGGAGAATCGCTTGAACCTGGGAGGCGGAGGCAGGAGAATCGCTTGAACCTGGGAGGCGGAGGCAGGAGAATCGCTTGAACCTGGGAGGCAGAGGTTGTAGTGAGCTGAGATCATGTCACTGCACTCCAGCCTGGGCTACAAGAACAAAACTCTGTCTTGGAAAAAAAAAAAAAAAAAAAAAAAAAAAATTTCTAGAGATGGATAGTGGTGATGGTTGCACAACAGTGTGAATGTGCTTAATGCCGTTTAACTGTGCACCCAAAAACTGGTTGTAATGGTGAATTTTGTTACGTATATTTCGACACAATTTTTGAAAAGGCAGGGCATGGTGGCTCACACCTGTAATCCTAGCTTTTTGGGAGGCCCAAACAGAAGGATTGCTTGAGGCCAGGAGTTTGAAATCAGCCTGGGTAACATAGGGAGAGCCCATCTCTACAAAAAATAAAAAATCAGTGTGCACCTGTGGTCTCGGCTACTCAGGAGGCTAAGGTGGGAGGATCACTTGAGCTGAAGAGCTCCAGGCTGCGGTGAGTTGTGATTGTGCCACTGCATGAGTGATAGAGCAAGACTGTCTCAAAAAAAGAGTCCAGGCTAGGCACAGGGCCTCACACTTGAAATCTCAGCACTTTGGGAGGCCGAGGCAGGTAGACCACTTGAGGTCAGGAGTTTGAGACCAGCGTGACCAACATGGTGAAACCCCGTTTACTAAAAATACAAAAATTAGCTGGGTGTGGTGGTGTGCCTGTAATCCCAGCTACTGGGGAGGCTGAGGCAAGAGAATGGAAAACTGTCTCAGGAAAAAAATACACACACACACACACACACACACAGAGAGAGATTACTATCTTGGGTGGGCACGGTGGCTAACGCCTGTAATCCCAGCACTTTGGGAGGCCAAGGCAGGCGGATCACAAGGTCAGGAAATCGAGACCATCCTAGCCAACATGGTGAAATCCCATTTCTATTAAAAAATACAAAAAAAAAAAAAAAATTAGTCCAGTGTGGTGGCATGCACCTGTAGTCCTGGCTACTCCAGAGGCTGAGGCAGGAGAATTGCTTGAACCCGGGAGGCGGAGGTTACAATGAGCTGAGACAGTGCCACTGCACTCCAGCCTGGTGACAGAGCGAGACTCTGTCTCAAAAAAAAAAAAAAAAAAAAAAAAAAATTACCATCTTAACCATTTTCTAATGTATACGTTAGGAGCATTAAGTACCTTCACATTATTGTGCAACCAATCTCTCAAACTTTTCCGTCTTACAAAACTGAAACAACGAGGCCGGGCGCGGTGGCTCAAACCTGTAATCCCAGCACTTTGGGAGGCCGAGGCAGGTGGATCATGAGGTCGAGAGATCAAGACCATCCTGGTCAACATGTGAAACCCCGTCTCTACTAAAAAATACAAAAAAAACTAGCTGGGCATGGTGGCGCGTGCCTGTAATCCCAGCTACTTAGGAGGCTGAGGCAGGAGAATTGCCTGAGCCCAGGAGGCAGAGGTTGCGGTGAGCCGAGATCGCGCCATTGCACTCCAGCCTGGGTAACAAGAGCGAAACTCCGTCTCAAAAAAAACAACAACAACAACAAAAAAACTGAAACAACGACTCATTACTTCCCCTCTCTTCATCACCCCATGGGAACCACCATTCTACTTTCGTTATCTATGAATTTGGCTACTCTAGGTCCCTGATATAGGTTCCATCCTTTTAAGGCTGAATAATAATTTATTATATGTGGAATTCACCAGTGAACCCATCTGGGCTGGGTGCTTTCTGTTTTGGAAGATTACTAATTATTGATTCAATTTCTTTAATATATGTAGGTCTATTCAGATTCTGTTTCTTCTTGTGTGAGTTTTGGCAGATTGTGTCTTTCAAAGAATTGATCAGTCGTATTTGTGGGTATGAATATTCTTTTATTATCCTTTTAATGTCTGTGGGATCTGTAGCAATGTCTCCTCTTTCACTTCTGATATCGGTAATTTGTGTCTTCTCTTTAGTTAGCCTGGCTAGAGGTATATTGATTTTATTGATCTTTTCAAAGAACTGGCTTTTGGTTTTATTGATTTTTTTTTTCTCTATTGATTTCCTGTTTTCAATTTTATTTTTTTGTATGGGGATACCTAGTTTTCCTAGCACCATTTGTTGAAATGACTGTCCTTTTCCCCCACTGAATGGTCTTGGCACACTATCAAAAATTGCTTGACAGGCCAGGTGCAGTGGCTCACTCCTGTAATTCCAGCATTTTGGGAGGCTGAGGTGGGCAAATCACCTGAGGGTCAGGAGTTTGAGATCAGCCTGCAAAACCTTATCTCTACTAAAAATACAAAAATAAGCTGGGTGTGGTAGCACATTCCTGTGATCCCAGCTGCTTTGGAGGCTGAGGCACAAGAATGACTTGAACCCAGGAGGTGGAGGTTGCAGTGAGCTGAGATTGTGCCACTGCACTCCAGTCTGGGCACCAGACTGAGACTCTGTCTCAAAAAAAAAAAAAAAAAAATGCTTGACCATATATGTAAGAGTTTATTTCTAGGCTGGCTATTCTATTTCATTGGTCTCTTTGTCTTCATGCCCATACCACACTGTTTTGATTACTGTAGCTTTGTTAGAAGGTTTGAAATCAGGAAGTGTGAGACCTCCAACTTTGTTTTTTAAAAATATTTTGTATGGGGTCCCTTGAGATTCCATATAAATTTTAGGATGGATTTTTCTATTTCTGCAAAATAAGCTGTTGGGATTTTGATAGGAATTGCCTTATACCTGTGGATTGCTTTGAGTAGTATTGGCTTTTTTTTTTGAGACGGAGTTTTGCTCTTGTTACCCAGGCTGGAGTGCAATGGTGCCATCTCGGCTCACCGCAACCTCCGCCTCCTGGGTTCAGGCAATTCTTCTGCCTCAGCCTCCTGAGTAGCTGGGATTACAGGCACACACCACCATGCCCAGCTAATTTTTTGTATTTTTAGTAGAGACGGGGTTTCACCATGTTGACCAGGATGGCCTCAGTCTCTTGACCTCGTGATCCACCCGCCTCGGCCTCCCAAAGTGCTGGGATTACAGGCGTGAGCCACCGCGCCCAGCAGTATTGGCATCTTGATAATAAACCCAGGCACACAGGATGTCTTTTCATTTGTTTGTTTCTTTAATTTTTCAGCACTGTTTTTCAGTTTTCAGTATAACAACCTTTTGCCTCCTTGGTTAAATATTTTCTTCTTTTTGATGCTATTATAAATGGAATTGTTTTCTTAATTTCCTTTTTGAATTGTTTATTGTTAATATATAGACATGCAACTAATTTTTGCATGCTGGTTTTGTATCCTGCAACCTTGCTGAATTTATTAGCTGTGTGTGTGTGTGTGTGTGTGTGTGTGTGTGATCTTAAGGGTTTTCTACATAGGAGATCATGTCATCTTCAAACAGAGGTAAGTTTACATCTTTCTATCCAATGTAGATGCCTTTTCTTTTCTTGCCTCATTGTTCTGGCTAGGACTTCCAGTACTATGTTGAACAGAAGTGACGAAAGCAAGCAGCCTTGCCTTGTTCCTGATCTTACTGATCTTAGAGGAAACACTTTATCTTTTGCCATTGAGTGTGATGTTAGCTGTGGCCTTTTCATATATGGCCTTTATTGGGGTGACATCATTTCCTTCCTTTTTTTTTGAGACAGAGTCTTGCCGCTTCACCCAGGCTGGAGTGCAGTGGCGCAATCTCGGCTAACTGCAACCTCTGCCTCCCATGTTCAAGCGATTTTCCTGCCTCAGCCACCCAAGTAGCCAGGATTACAGGCATGTGCCACCATACCTGGCTAATTTTTGTATTTTTTTTTTTTTTTTTTTTTAGTAGAGACAGGGTTTTGCCATGTTGGCCGGCTGGTCTCAAACTCCTGACCTGGTGATCAGCCCGCCTCGGCCTCCCAAAGTGCTGGGATTACAGGCATGAGCCACCTCACCCGGTCATTTCCTTCTATTCCTAGTTTTCAGGCACCTCTCCTGTCTTCCCTTTGCCTTTGTCCTCAGTCCAGATGGAGACCAGGTGCTCACGCTCCTTCATGCAGCAACCCTTCCTTCAAGGTGGATGCCTGGAAGAGGGCAGCTTGAATTTTCCTTCTTCAGAGAATTTGCCCACAGTCCTCTTTCCATTACTTCATCCAGTCGTAAGGCAAACCTTTGTTGAGACTGCACTAGGCTTGGCGTAGCGTTTTTCAGCCGCAGGTGGTTTCAGGTATGTGGTCTCAGTCCTCCCAGGAGCTATTTGAAATAGGAATTGTGTCTGTCCCCAGATTTTTTTTTTTTTTTTTTTTGAGACAGAGTCTCACTCTGTTGCCAGGTGCCAGGCAGGAGTACAGTGGCACAATCTCGGCTCACTGCAACCTCCACCTCCTGGGTTCAGGCAATTCTCCTGCCTCAGCCTCCCAAGTAGCTGGGACTACAGACGTGCGCCACCATGCCCAGTTAATTTTCATATTTTATTAGAGACGGGGTTTCACCATGTTGACCGGGATGGTCTCGATCTCTTGACCTCGTGATCCACCCACCTCAGCCTCCCAAAGTGCTGGGATTACAGGCGTGAGCCACCATGCCCGGCCTGCCCCCAGATTTAACATGACTCACAGCACTGATGAATTTATGCCAGGCTGCCTTGTTTTTGCGTCCAGCCCTTAAGCGGTATTGCTGGCACTGCGCAAGGGCCTCCTGTCTCTGAAAGCTGCCTCTGATCCAAGTGGAAAGGGCCCAGGAGTTCATTCTCTTTCTTTGCATTCATAGAGGTCCTGGGCCTATGTCAAGAAGTGCAAAAACAACATGTGTCCAAATCGGGGGCTGGTGACTCAGCTGCTGGAATGGGAGAAGATTATCCTTGGAAGTTTCATCACAAACATCACGGATCCACTCTACTGATCTCCACGGCCCCAGTGAAGGGTGCTGAATGGCCTCGCTTGGGGGCTTTTTGTGGGTGGAGGGCCAGAGTGTGTATACCCAGGCTTGTCTGGAAGAAGGCCTTTGCCACCTGAAAGTCTCACATCAGCCTCCTGTACTGATTCTTCCCAAGCGCCTGTTCAAGCCACACAGCAGGTGCGCCCTGCTCAGGCTTGCTGAGAATCCGCATTCCCAGGGCATCCTGGGCCATCCCTCCTGCACCCCTGTGGCTGCCTCTGGAAGAGCATCTGGCTGCTAGAGCAGCTGCCCCACATCCCCCTGTGACCTGGACCCTTTGGGGGCTGCCTGGGGGCACCAAGAGGTTGCCTGTGTTGGTTCACAGAGGATATCACAACACTCACCAATGGGCAGAGATCCTCTATCCCGAGACACCAAGCCCAGCCTTGTCCAGGCCCCAGGCTCCTGGAATGGGGTCACACCCTTGCCTCATCCCCAGTGCTTCCTGCCGTCCGCCCCTTGAAACATATTTCCTTTCCCTGCTCCCCACTCATTTCTGTCTGGCTGTGTTCACCAAGGAGAGATTTGCACCCTCCCATCTCCAGCTTTCTAGAAATTCCTAAGATCTTAAAAGTTTTCCTTTTTTTCCCCCTTTCCTCTTTTTTTTCCCCCCCAAGCACAGTCTTGCTCTTTCTCAGGCTGGAGCACGGTGGTGCTGTCATGGCTCATGCAGCCTCAACTACCCAAGGCTCAAGGGATCCTCTTGCCTCAACCTCCTGAGTGAGTAGCTGGGACTGCAGGTATGCACCACCACACCTGACTAATTTATTTTTATTTTTGTCGAAACAGAGTCTGGCTCTGTTTCCTAGGCTGGTCTCGAACTCCAGCCTCAGCCTCAGCCTCACCAAAGTGCTGGGATGACAGACGTGGGCCATGGCGCCCAGTTGGAAGCTGTTTTCTGAATGCACTTCTCCAAAGCTGACGGTACCCACAGAACAAACTGATCATCAGGAGACGGCACAGACTAGGGGGCTGGTAGGGGATTAGGATGTCCATTCATGCGGGGCCTTCCCCAAGTCCCTTCGGCAACCATTCCCTGCCCTCACGTGGGTGGGGCTGGGAACAGAGAGATGAGTGCCATCCCACCACCTATCACTCACTGCAGAGGGATGGAGGGGGTGTGGGATTCCCCCCAACAGCAGGGCAGGCCTTCAAGGAGGAGTGGGGTTTTGCCAGAGGGGGAGAAGGGCTTTCCAGGCAGCCCCGGCTTGAGTTGGGACAGAGACCGAGATGGCTGCAGAGCTCTGTCTGATCAGGGACCTCCTGGTGGGCAGGACAGACCCGCTGGAAAGTTTTAAGCAGGAACATGATGGGGAATTGTGTTTTGGGAAGGGCAGTCTGGTGGTTACAAGAAGGGACAGTGGCGGTGAGGCAGGGAGAAAGGAGGCCGCTGTCAAAATCGAAGCGAGAGAAGCAGCTCTAACTCCCTTCCCCAAAGGGGCTGAGCTTCGCAAGGACGAAAGTGTTGCAGGCAGGTGTTACCCTCCTGGACCTTGGTTTGCTCCTAGCATGACGGGCCAGAGCCCTGCTGGCTGTACCACGCGGCTGGCACAGTCAGTGCAGTCCAGGCCCAGGGGCTGCAGCCGCTCCAGTCCCGGTCCAGGCCGCAAGTCGCGGGGACTGCAGCAGCCCCGGCGCGCGGCCCCGCCCCGCCCCTTCCTCGGATTGGCTGGGGTGGGGGCGTGGCCTTTTCCCATTGGTTCCCGCGGCGGCGCGAGCCCGGAAGCGGACGGGGGCGGTGGCGGAGGTGCCTCGGGCGGGCCGGGGTGGCTGCGCCTTCCTAGGCTCCTGGCTCCGGGCACTGCAACCATGCAGCCCCCGTCCCCGGGCCCGCTAGGTGACTGCCTGCGGGACTGGGAGGATCTACAGCAGGACTTCCAGAACATCCAGGTGAGCGCTGCTGCGGACTCCTGGTGGCCCCCCGAGCAGCGTCTCGCTGGCTCAGGGTTAAGGGTCGGTCAGCCCTGGGTCAGGCAGCGGGGAGCTCAGGGTCAGGGGTCGGGGCCCTGGCGTCACTCCCGAGGGCGGCGAGACCCCGGGTCCTGGTGTCCGCCGCCGCTCTCTCCAGTGTCCGGGGACTACGGCGGGACCCCACCGCGCTCGGCGACCTTGGCCTCCAACTAGGGCCTTGGAAAGGGGCCCATACCCCGACCCCGTCCCCTCCCGGGAGAGAGCGGGCGCCTGAGTCACACAAGGGCGGGCCCAGTCTTGGGTCAGCCACTCAGCAAACGCGCTGCTGGCAGCGTCCGAGAGGCAGCCCGGGTCGGGGGAGCGGTGTTTAGGGGGAAGTCCTCGGCATGGATGTCGGGGGGCGCCCCAGGCAGAGGGACGTCGCCCGCCGCCGAGCCTTTAGAAGGAAAGAGCGGACTTGACAGGCCCATGTGGCTGCACCGAGGAGAGCCAGGGAAGGGGTGGGCGGGGCCAGGCCCTGCGGGGACGCCCTAGCCTGGCAGAGATTGGAGTCCCTCTGAGGCCAGTGGAAAGCTACGGGAGGAATTGTCTGAACCGGGCTCCGTGGGGCCACCGTGGCTGTGCTGTCCAGAGGTCAGGGAGGAGGAGGCTGCTGGCCTCTTCCAGGCAGGGGAGAGGGCAGTGGCTGTGGGTGGGCAGAAGTGGCACATGCTGGGGTCCGAGGGGGCGTGGTAACTCCTCCTGCGCATGAGAAACAAGATCCAGGCAGAGTAGAGCCTCGGCCACCTGATGGCTTGGTTAGGCGGTTGCTTCCCCTGGACGGGCTCCAACCCCTTCCTGTCGGCATTGAAGGCCAGCTGCCCCCTGGCCCTGCCAAGCCCCCTGCCATTGGTGCTTCTCCCCAGAGATCTGAGGTGACCCAGCCTCCATGCCTGGCCGCCGCTTTCCTGGCCGCAGCCCCAGCTTGGCTCTTCCCACACTGCCCCTTGCCCCATCTCTAGGTTGCGCCTTCTTGAAACTTACCCACCAGGGCAAAGTGCTCTGGAAAGCCTTGGGCCAAAGGTGCTGGGGGAAGGGAAAGATGTCAGGAATGCCTGAGAACCCGAGCGCCCCCTGTACTCGAAGGCTGGATAGGCAGGAGGAGCTTCGAGGACAAAGGGGTGGCTCTGGGGGTCCTGCTTGGTCCACGAGGTGGTCCTGGGGGCCTAAGCTCCAGAATCAAGGTGGAAAAGATACAGCCCTTCCGTGTAGGGTGGGGAAAACTAGCAGATGGGCTGAGACTAAGAAAACTTTGGCCCGGGGTGGTGGCTTATGCCTGTAATCCCAGCACCTTGGAAAGCCGAGGTGGGTGGATCGCCTGAGGTCAGGAGTTCAAGACCAACCTGGCCAACATGGTGAAACCCTGTCTCTACATAATAGAAAAATTAGCCGGGCATAATGGCAGGTGCCTGTAATCCCAGCTACTTCAGCCCAGGAGGCTGAGGTGGAAGAATGGCTGGAACCTGGGAGGCAGAGGTTGCAGCGAGCCGAGATCATGCCGTTGCACTGCAGCTTGGGCGACAGAGACTCTGTCTCAAAGCAAAAAACTCCTAGTCTGTTTCTGGGGGAGGGGTGCGATGGAGGCCTTTGGGCTCGAGGACACCCATCTCCTCGCCTGCCTTGGGGAGAGAGCCACCTCGTCCCTGGGCAGGCCCAGAAGTTCTGCCTGCTTTCTCGCTGAGCAAGTCCTGGGGGAGCCGGTGCCCCACATCCTGCCTGCAGGTTCTGGCCCAGCGGCTTCCCAACTGGCCTGAGCCTTCTTCCCTCCGGCCCCCAGGAGACCCATCGGCTGTACCGCCTGAAGCTGGAGGAGCTGACCAAACTGCAGAACAATTGCACCAGCTCCATCACGCGGCAGAAGAAGCGGCTCCAGGAGCTGGCCCTCACCCTGAAGAAGTAGGCGCCCCTACCCCACCCGCGTGGGCTGAGTGCAGGGTGGGAGGGCTGGTGCTGCGAGACCCTGAGCACAGCTCCTCTCGCCCTTCTGCTGCTGTGGGAGTCAGGTAGTCCGCCCGCCCTGACTCTCTCTGGCCTCACCCGCAGATGCAAACCCTCCCTCCCAGCAGAGGCCGAGGCGGCCGCGCAGGAGCTGGAGAACCAGATGAAAGAGCGTCAAGGGCTGTTCTTTGACATGGAGGCCTATTTGCCCAAGAAGAACGGGTGAGGCCCCCACCACCCAGCCCCAGCTCAGTGCCCAGCCACTCCTGCGGGGGAGGTCTGAAGCCGGGTGCTGTGTCTTCTTGGTTATTCAGTCAGCAAATGTTCCCTGGGCCCACTTTGGGCTGAGCAGTGAGGCCTGGTGCTGACTGCAGGGGGACGCCCAGCTGAGGGTGACAGCTCACTGTGAAGGCGCTTGGTAGGGGAAGCACGGGGGATGTGGTGGTGCAGTGAGGGGTGGTGACCCAGGCCAGGGGGTTGCAGAAGGCTTGCTGGATTAGGGGATGGCTGGCCTGAGTCTTTTTTTTTTTTTTTTTTTTTTTTTTTTGAGACGGAGTTTCGCTCTTGTTACCCAGGCTGGAGTGCAATGGTGCGATCTCGGCTCACTGCAACCTCCGCCTCCTGGGCTCAGGCAATTCTCCTGCCTCAGCCTCCTAAGTAGCTGGGATTACAGGCACGCGCCACCACGCCCAGCTAGTTTTTTTGCACTTTTAGTAGAGACGGGGTTTCACCATGTTGACCAGGATGGTCTCGATCTCTCGACCTCGTGATCCACCCGCCTCAGCCTCCCAAAGTGCTGGGATTACAGGCTTGAGCCACCACGCCCGGCTTGGCCTGAGTCTTAAAGAATAAAGAGAGTGGGCCAGGCACCATGCCTCTCACCTGTAATCCCAGCACTCGGGAGATAGAGGCGGGATTACAGCCTGAACTCAGGAGTTCAAGAGCAGCCTGGGCAAAAAAACAGGCTGGGTGTGGTGGCTCATGCCAGCACTTTTTTGGGAAGCCAAGGCAGGAGTTGAAGTCAGGAGTTCAGGAGTTCAAGACCTGCCTGGGCAACATGGTAAAACCCATCTCTTAGCACAAAAGTTAGCCAGGCGTGGTGGCAGGTGCCTGTAATCCCAGCTACTCGGGAGGCTGAGGCAGGAGAATCACTTGAACCCGGGAGGCAGAGGCTGCAGTGAGCCAAGATCATACCACTGCACTGCAGCCTGGGTGACAGAGTGAGACTCTGTCTTAAAAAGTAAATAAGCAAATAAATAAAAAGAATGAGGCAGACACATGGGCTGAGGGCGAGAGGTAACAGCAGGTGGACACAAAGGCCATGAGCAAGACCGTAGTGGCCAGAGCTCAGGGTGGCGGGTGAGAGGGAGCAGAGATTGGAGGCTCTGCTGGGCTGTGGTGCTTGCCTTGAGCCCAGTAGGCAGCAGAGACGGAGAGGTGAAGTGTGCACTTAGAAAGACCAGCTGCTGTCACGCAGGATGGATGGGGCAGTGCAAAACCCTCGGCTGAGTGAAAACTCCCAGCACAAGCTGCGGGCAGGGAGACAGTTGGGAGAGGGCGTGGCCCAGAAGCCAGGGAGAAAAGAGTGTTCGTAGCCTCAGGTCGGTCCTGTGATAAGAAAGGGGACCCGCTTCCTGGAAGTCAGGTCACCTTGATGAGAACCAGAGAACCATTTGATGGAACGGGTGGACATTGATCTTGGGATGACAGAGGAGCCAAGGAAGGGAGATAGCCAAGTCTCAGAGACTTTAGAGCGTGGCTGTGAGCGGAGGGGGAGAAGGAGTGACTAGGAACTGGAAGTTAGCACTGGGTCGAGGTGTGGCTGCTGCCTGGGTTCAGAGTTACTTTGTCCCTGGGAAGACTCGAGCACATCCACCTGCTGAGAGGAGGGGCTGGGAGGGGAAAGACCCAGGAGAGGGGTTGAGGGGTGTGGACGGTGCAGAGATGAGGGTGAGGAGTGCTCGTGGCGCAGTGCTCTCTAGGGAGCAGAGGCCAGACCGTCTTCTCTGCCATGTTGCATGGGGGGCCTGGGATGGGAGGGGACAGGATGGAGGGTTCAGGGGAGAGGATGTGGAAAGGCCACTGCTGGGAACCTGACGGGGAGCTGAGTGGGGACGAATCCGCGCCTGGTGGGTTGGCACTGGAGGCTGGAGCTGGCCTGCGTGGGGCGCGCTGTGCCGGGAGCCCTCTGTAGAGCGAGAGGCATGGATGGGCGCTCCCGCCCTGCCCCAGAATCTCTTTCTGCTCTTGTGCAAATTGCCTAACCACACTGAGCCTCTGGCCATTTGGCTTGAGGGTGAACAGGAGTCCATGTGTCGGGGGCAGGTGCTGAGAAAGTGACTGTGACTTTGCTGTCACCTCTTGGAGTGTCTCTGGCAGAGAAGGGCAAGGTGATCTCAGCTGAGGGGTGTGCAGGCTGGAAATTAAGGGGATTGGCAAGAAAGTGGTGGAGTTGGCGGGTGGCCTGGGGACTCAGCCGGCTCTGACAAGATCTGGGACTGGAGATGGTGGGGGGCTTGGTGAGGGAAAAGGGGGTCACAGTGGGGAAAAATGCGCTGGAGGCTGAGCACTTGGGGTCAGCAGTCAGAGCTCCAAGTTTCTGTTCTGGTTTTCGAGGAGGTCCCAAGTGTGTGGATCACTGAAGTGGACCCAGACCGAAGGTTCTGGAGGGGAGGTGGCAGGGAGGGGGTGTAGGTGGTGACCATCCGCACAGAGGAGCAACTGGGGACAGGGGGATGGCCCTCAGTGGGGAGGGAGAGCCAGGTCCTCTTGGGGCCCCGAAGTGGGGGAGTTTCAGGCAAGACTCAGGAGACAAGGGGACACCTTCTCCAGGGGAGCAGGTGGCGAGGGAGGCTGGGCATGGGTGTGGGTCTGCAGCCCCCAAGGTCAGAACCCGATACCGAGGCCATTTGCAAGGCAGCGGGGGTGGGGAGTGGCACAGGCTGTGGCCTGGCAGGTGTGGCTGAGTGCTGTGGCTTCTGTCATTCGGCCTCTCCTCACCCTGCCACCCCCTCCCCCCTAGGTTGTACCTGAGCCTGGTTCTGGGGAATGTCAATGTCACGCTCCTGAGCAAGCAGGCTAAGTAATCAGGCCGAGCCTCCACCTCCCAACCCCCCTACCTCCCCTCTGCCCACCTTCCCTGGGCTCAGCCTTAGAGTTCAGGGGCTGCCCTCCTGGGGTGGGGGCACACATGGGCCCCACCAACACCCCACCCGTCTCACTGGCCTGGGCCCCGCTAGGTTTGCCTACAAGGACGAATATGAGAAGTTCAAGCTCTACCTCACCATCATCCTCATCCTCATCTCCTTCACCTGCCGCTTCCTGCTCAACTCCAGGTGGGAGTCCCACCCCGGCCGAGGCCCGGCCCCGTCCCCAGCCGCTGCAGCACCAACCCTCGGTCCCCTCCCTCCGCAGGGTGACGGACGCTGCCTTCAACTTCCTGCTGGTCTGGTACTACTGCACCCTGACCATCCGGGAGAGCATCCTCATCAACAACGGCTCCCGGTGGGCAGGGCGGGCCTCGAGGCTTTCCCCGTGGGTGGGAACATGGGAGGGGAGCCTGGCATGGGGCGCTGGGACCCTCCGGGAAGCAGGAGCAGGCCCTGGGGGTGATGGCGGCTCTCTGCTCCAGGATCAAAGGCTGGTGGGTGTTCCATCACTATGTGTCCACCTTCCTGTCGGGAGTCATGCTGACGTGGTGAGTGACTGGGCCCCAGCAGGGGCAGGAGCTGGGACAGGGAGGAGACGGACAGTGTCCCCAAGGGTCCCCACACTGCCCTCTACTTTCTGTCTTAGGCCCGATGGTCTCATGTACCAGAAATTCCGGAACCAGTTCCTGTCCTTTTCCATGTACCAGAGTGAGTGTCCCAGACGTCGGTGCTGAGCCCCAGCGGCAGCTGTGGCGGTGGGTGCGGGCAGGGAAAGCCCCCAGGCTCAGCCCCACTGTACCCTCCCGCCGGCCCAGGCTTCGTGCAGTTCCTCCAGTACTACTACCAGAGCGGCTGCCTCTACCGCCTGCGGGCGCTGGGCGAGCGGCACACCATGGACCTCACTGTGGGTGAGCGGGGCTTGGCCTGGCGTCTGGGCATGGGGGCCGGGATACCCTCCTCTCCTCCCATCCTGGGTCTGAGTGGCGGCATCCCCTCTGTCCCTGGCCGTCCTGTGCCCGGACCTTCCTCCCTGCAGAGGGCTTCCAGTCCTGGATGTGGCGGGGCCTCACCTTCCTGCTGCCTTTTCTTTTCTTTGGACAAGTAAGTCGTGCCCCTGTCCCCATGTTTGTCTGTCCGTCCTCTGCTCCGGCTTTGGGCGTGAGCAGGGACTGGGTTTTCTGAATAAAACATCGCCTCCTCCCTGCTCAGTTCTGGCAGCTTTTTAACGCGCTGACGTTGTTCAACCTGGCCCGGGACCCTCAGTGTAAGGAGTGGCAGGTGAGCCGGGGTCCCTGGAGAGACGGCTGGGGGGCCCGCCCGGGCCCAGTCCTCACCCCGTTCTTCCCACAGGTGCTCATGTGCGGCTTCCCCTTCCTCCTCCTCTTCCTCGGCAATTTCTTCACCACCCTGAGGGTCGTGCACCAGAAGTTTCATAGTCAGCGGCAACGGAGCAAGAAGGACTGAGGCTGGGGCTTCCGTGTCCCGTGTTGTGGGAGGTGATGGGCGGCACTCTCCAGTGTGTGTTTGTGGGGGGGGTGTGTGTGTGTATCGGGGGGGGGGTCTCTGTTCTCCCCTGGGTTCTGTGGGCTCTGTGGGCCCTGAAGGAAGACCTGGGCCCAGTGCCCTCAATAAAGAGAGGCCCGGAGGTGGCCTGAGTATGTGTGTTCACCCCGGGGAGGGCAGGGCTTGGTGGCCCCACGACACAGGTTCCTGGGGTCTGAGTTGAGGTGATCCAGGTGGAGGCCCTGGATCTTCTCACAAGATACCAGGCAAATACAGAAAAGAGAACTTTATTCCAAGGGCGAGAGATTATTTAAAATTATTTACACTCGTTGGAAATCATGTGGAGCAGTTGGGCCCAGCTCAGCTGAGAGAAAGAGCCCTTCTGTGCGGCCACCGAGGGCTGGCGGTGTCCTGAGGCGTGGGACCCAGTGTCCTGGCCGCTGCAGACCCTGGCGGACCTCACCTGGCCTGGGAGGCTCAGGAGGGTGAACCCCAGGCCCGGAGGAGTCTTTGTCACTGGGCCTGCACCCGCGCCTGTGCCAAGGCCAAGCCGAACCCACCCAGGAGACTGTGGGAGGGAGCGAGGAGAGTGATTACAGGCCACAGCCTGCGGGGCGGATGGGGCGGATGGGGCGGGCGGGGCCCTAGCTCCACACGTCGAGGGAGTAGCGGCCCTTGGTCATCAGCTTCTTGATGTAGTCCACAGCCTGTGCGTGCTCCATGGCCCCGAGCTCAGCCGCGATGTCACAGAAGGTGTTCTGCACGTCCCTGGCCATGTTCCGCGCATCCCTGGGTACAAAGAGGGGGTGCTGGGGGCTGGGCCAACTGACAGGGCCTTGTCCTCCCTGCCCCTACTCCAGTGCCCCCACTTACCCACAGATGAAGACTGGGTGCCGCCTTCCCCGCCCCCTACTCCAATCCCCCCACTCACCCGCAGACGTAGATGTGGGCGCCGCCCTCGATCAGCTTCCACAGGTGCTCTCGGTCCCGCTTTAGCAGGTGCTGGACATAGACCTGGGGCCAAGGGTGGTGCCGTGAGTGGGGCACCGCGGCTAGGGCCCTGCCAGCCCCGTCCCCCCCCTCCACGGGTGCCTGCCTGCCTCACCTTGTGGGGCTGCTCCCGGGAGAAGGCCACGTTGAGCTGGGTGAGCGCGCCGTCCTTGTGGAACCGCGCCAGCTCCTCGCGGTACAGGTAGTCCTCATCCGAGCGGCGGCAGCCGTAGTACAGCAGCGTCTCCCCCACCTCCTTGCCTGCGTGGCCGGGGCCGGGGTGAGCACGGGGCTCCCGCTTGTCACCACCCCACCCCGCTTGCCCCCCACTTACCCTGCTGTTGCAGCCAGGCTCGCTCCTGGATGAAGCCCATGAAGGGGGCCACGCCGGTGCCCGGGCCCACCATGATGACGGGCGTGGTGGCCTTGAAGGGCAGGCGGAACTGGGACTTGCGCACAAACATGGGCACCAGCGCACGGCCGCCGTTCTCCCCGGCAGGCTCCTTGGCCCGCAGCCAGTTGGTGGCCACGCCCTTGTTGATGCGGCCGGCCTTGGTCTCGTACTCCACAACCACGGCGCAGATGTGCACGGAGTTGGGGTGCACCTGCAGGAGGGCCGTGTGAGCTCCTTGCCAAGGGCCCTGCCCAGCCCCACACCACGTCCCGTTCTGCGGCCATCCCTGCCCACCAGGGCCTCTTCCTGTCCACCGAGGCCCAAACCTCAGAGGCCCCTGCCCCAGCGGCTTTCCAGACTGGCTCTGGGGACCAGGGCTGGACAGATGCTGGGAATCTCACAGGTGAGCCCCATGGAGTCCAGAGTCTGGGGAGGCATTTGGGACTGCGCTGGGGCTGGAACTGGGCTCTGCCTGCCGTGAGCAGGGCTAGGCCCCCAGTGTGTGGCGGGCGGGTGGGCAGGGCAGGGCAGGGCAGGGCAGGGCAGGGCCGGCCCTCACCTTGGAGGAGGAGGCGATGGAGTAGTAGCGGGCCTGCAGGCGCGGCAGCAGTTCACACAGGTGGTCGATGGGGGGCCGCAGGGACGGACAGTCCTGCAGGATGGCCAGGATGTGCCTCCGGGCCTCCACCACCCAGCTCAGGTACAGCTCCTGGAAGGAGACACGGGGGGTGAGGGGCTGGATCGGGGCCCACGGAGCTCGGAGAACAGCGGGGTGGCAGGTCGGAGGATGCGGGGCTGAGGGGGCGCACCTTGCCCTCGCCGGAGGAGGAGGCCATCTTGCGCAGCAGCTCCTGCTCCGAGGGCTCTGAGGCGTACTGTGCCAGCTCGTACAGCACGTTGGTGCGCGGTGGGTTGGTGATGTCCAGGTAGTAGGTGAGGGCCGTGCGGTAGGACGTGGGGCACGGGAAGGGGTGCTTCTTGTTGGACTCCTCTGTGGGGAAAAGGCAGGCAGGACTTGCGGTGTGCAGGCGCCTCCTGGGGATGGGTGGCTGCCGCGGGAGGGGGTGATGCCGCGGGCAGGCTCTGCAGGAACAGGTGCCCCCGCTGGTGCTGGAAACAAGGCCTGTGTTCTCTGATGCCTCCCTGGCCCTGGAGCCAAGGCTCGGGCCTCCAGCCAGGCAGGAAGGAAGTTCTCATCAGAGGCAGGACCTTGCTAGGGGAGGTTGGGGACAGGGCTGTGCACTAATGCACCTGCTGTGTTTCCACTACACACACGACACTGTGTGGCCTGGCCCAGCCCCTTTTCCTGCTGCTGCCTCATAGACGGGTGTGGAACCCGACAGTAAGGGCAGCCCTGGTGCAGTGGCTGAGGACCTGCAAGCAGGGCTGGGCAAGGTGGACTGGGCCCAGGTCGGTGATCAGTGGGGTCCAGGGGCTTCACAGCGGGAGGCTCAGGCTGGGCAGCACCTCCAGGCCCAGGCAGCCCCGCATGGCTACTGCCCCTTGGCACTGAGCACCTTTGGGGGCCTGGGAGGGCTGCTAGGGCTGCCGACTCTTGACTTCTCCCTTGAGGAAGTGGGGGCATCCCCAGGCCCTCCTCTCCAGCAGGACATAGTGGCCATGGGGGAGCTGGGGCTGGCTCTGCCTCCAGGCCTCCGCACCTCACTCCCTTAAAGGACTATGACAGTGACGGCCAGACCCTACGGCAACTCTGCCTCCCCTTTGCTTGGGAACCGGTAACCATGGAGTCTCAGGGGCAAGGGCCTCCCAGGCACCAGGGCTTCAGGCCTAAGCAGAAGCTGAACCCAGGGCCTTCCTGAACACCCAATCTCATGGCCGCCTGGGCCCAGCAGAGTGACGGTGACTGTAGCACTCACCATCCAGGTTGTTGAGGGACATGACGACGTCCAGGTCGGTACCCAGGATCTTACCCAGTTGGTTGACGAGGGCTGAGTCATTGGCAGGGTACACGGCCACGTGGTCCCCAGATTCATACCTGGAGGGAGATGCAAGCCTTGGGAGGTGCAGAAGGCTGGCCCTGCTGCGGGTCAGGACGCCCGGAGCGAGGGTTCAGGGGCTGACGGCAGCGGATGGTACCTGATTTTGGAGTCCGAGATGTCCAATTCTAGGTGCATGAGGTGGCGCTCAGTTCCCTGATTTAGCTTCCGGTTGGTGGTGACTGCAGCCAGGAATGGATTCTTGGCATCAAAGGGGCTGGGTGGGGAGGAGAGAGAGTGGCGGCCAGGGCTCGGATCTGAGTCCCCCTGTCCCCAAGGACCCTTCTGCTTGCACAAAGCATGGGGAAACTCGGAGATCTCCATGAGGAAATATCACTGGTGACACTCACTGGGCAATACCAAAGCCTGGAGCAATGCAGTTCTTTTTTTTTTTTTTTTTTGAGATGGAGTTTCTCTCTGTCACCCAGGTTGGAGTGCAGTGGCGTGATCTCGGCTCACTGCAACCTCTGCCTCCCAGGTTCAAGTGATTCTCCTGCCTCAGCCTCCAGAGTAGCTGGGATTACAGGCATGCACCACCACACCCAGCTGATTTTTGTATTTTTAGTAGAGATGGGGTTTCACCACGTTGGCCAGGCTGGTCTTGACCTCCTGACCTCAGGTGATCCGCCCACCTCAGCCTCCCACAGTGCTGGGACTACAGGCGGGAGCCACCTCTCTACAGTTCCACCACGTGACCCAGAGCTGGGTCATCAGTGTCTCCATTTACAGACGTGAAAACTGAGGCTGGCCCCTGAAAGACCTGTGAGGCCCAAGCTGATGGCACCACAGGCTAGAAGGTGGCTGGGTCCTCAGATGACTGCACAGAGCACAGTCCCCCCACCCCCACATGTCCTGGGTGACACCATGGACAAGAGAGAAACTTCTACTCTGGAAAGCCCCTGAAATGCACAGCTTCTCATCCCAGCCAGGCTGGAGCAGGCCTGCAGAAAACAGGGTGGCTGGTCTTAGATGTAGTGGCACGAACACTCCCCTGGGCAGCACCCAGGGGCCATCAAGGGCACAGAGAGGAATGCTAGGTTTTTGCCCAAGTCTATCTATGGAGATAGATTCTAAGGAAATGAGCCCTTTGGCCAAAGAGGATCCTAGCCACAGAGCCCAACGCGCTGTCCTTGCTGAGAAGTGGGATGCAGCTTGCTGCCCCTGGGCAGTGCAGAGTAAGGCAGCAACGTAGCTCAGTAAAAACTGGGTGAGGACCAGTCTCCCGGGGCCAGGTCCAGGAAGAGCACTTCGTTGGGGCATGGAGCAGCTACTCGGCGCTTGGGCAGCCCGCCTCTCTGCTCTAGGTCTCATGCCCTCCCTGTGCAGGGACACTCACACCCACTCCCAGCACGGGGTCTGGCAAGAAGGGCCCTGGGAGGATACACGACAGACTGAGTCCGGGGTGCACCGGGGGCCGCAGAGCCATGCGCCCCCTGCACGATCCCTCCACTCACGGCTTTTGGTTCTCGTAGCTCTTCAGCCGGCCCATCTCCCCCACGTACACCTTGGCCGTGTCTATGTCACTGTGGACCACAAGCTCATACTGGCGAATGCTGGAAAGGGAAGACCGAGGGTGAGGTCGGGAGCTGTAGGGTCAGTCCCAAGAGGGAGGGGTTGGGCTGCAGGGGAGACAGTGCGTGGCTTTCAGGGCAAGGGCCCAGGGACATATGACAAGAGACAGGGGAGCTCCTGCTGCAGATGTGCTAGGGAGGGGCTCGAGGAAGTGACGGGGGTAGGAGGGAGGCGGGGAGGCGGGAGGCGGGAGGCGACGTGGCCCTGGGCAGGCTTCCAGGAGATTCTGGGAGAAGGCAGGAAAGCCTGGGCAGCACCCAGGGGCCATCAAGGGTACAGAAAGGAACGTTATGATTTTAGCCAAGTCTATGGAGACAGATTCTAAGGAAATAAGCCC